TAGCTGATGGCTCTAAAATTGCCATCCTCCCTAGGAAGGGGTTTAGTTGTTTTATGTTAGTGCTCCAAGATAGAGAGGCCTATGTAAAGCATACAATCCAAAGCACAAACTTTCGTAACTTGTTCCTTTCTGTGTAAAACCCAGTAATCAGCAAGTGTATTTTCATCAGCTTCCTTCCTTCATTTTCCTTCCTTTGACCCCCTTCCACTGGGTCATGGATTTTAAGACAATCTGAAGTTCTTCACAAGTCTCATCATTATAGTCCAATTACCCAGTTCTAGAACCAGCTGTGATTTCTGAGTATGTACCAGATATTTTCAAGTCCATTGTCCACAGCCATTGGTTCCAACTATTTTGGCTCATATTCCTACAAGCTGCCATAATCTGAGGTACAGAAACTCAGAGCCTTGATGAATAGAGTCTTCAAATGGACCTTCCCACTCCTCATATTAAACATGACTCTCCAACCAACGACTCAGGTGTGTTAGGTATATGTCTCTGTTCCGTTAACTCCATATAAGTTCACATCAGTCCTCCAGCATGCCTGGCAGGGCAGAACATATCCTGCAGTTGCAGAGGCCCCTGCTTCCCCCAAACGGAGTCAGTGCTGAGCAAAGGTGATTATGTAGCATCAAGACATTGAAGGGAAGCTTGTCTAGCCACTGAGCAATGTGTGCCCAAAGATGATCCGTGAGACACAACATGACCTCTGCCGACTCAGTAGCTAACTCTCGTTTCATTCTAAAACTGGGTCATACGGATCTTGTGCAATTGGACATGCCAAGGTGCTTTGCTCTGTCCAGGAACTATTTATTTTCCCACTTTTAAGCGGTTGGAAACTAAAGTGTGTCTTTTTGCTTTCTACACTGACTACTTAATTGAATGGAACAATAACAAGGAGAGAAATATATAAACACAAGTCTGAAATAAAAATTTTAAGTACAGGGGCACCTGGGTGGCTCAGTTCGTTAAGCATCTGACTTCGGCTCAGGTCATGATTTTGGAGTTCGTGGGTTCAAGCCCCGTCTCTGGCTCTGTGCTGACAGCTCAGAGCCTGGAGCCTGCTTCGGAGTCTGTGTCTCCCTCTCTCTCTCTGCCCCTCCCCTGCTCATGCTCTGTCTCTGTCTCAAAAATAAATAGAAATAACATTTAAAAATTAAAAATAAAATTTAAGTACATAGACTTAGGTTTATATCTAAAAATATTAAGAAATACTTGCTTCCTTGGTGTAAGATTACTCTGATGCATTAATCTGCTGAGTATTAGCTAACACTTTCCTCCTTAGGTACCTAAGAGATTTTAATAATATTAAACCAATTATTTTCTCTTTATCTCTGCACAGATACTTTTTTCCTTTCTTTCTTCCCTTCTTTTGAAAATTGAACTATATTACTTAGAAGGGAACCTATTTATGTTTCATATATATATATATTTTTTTTAAATAAGAATCAATCAGGGGCACCTGGGTGGCTCAGTCGGTTAAGCGTCCAACTTCAGCTCAGGTCATGATCTCACAGTCTGTGAGTTCGAGCCCCTTGTCGGGCTCTGTGCTGACAGCTCAGAGCCCGGAGCCTGTTTCAGATTCTGTGTCTCCCTCTTTCTCCCTCCTCCCCCACTCATGCTCTGTCTCTCTCTTCTCAAAAATAAATATATGTTAAAAAATTAAAAAAAAATAAATCAGAATCAATCATAAGCCTAAAGTTTCATCTGCTCAGATTATTCCCCTATTTAGATTTAAAAGTGAAGGATTTGGAGCCAAATCCACTCCCACATATGGAGTCTACATATAAAATATAACAAGTGAGGATTCCAATTTAAGGTAGGTGTGACGGATGCCTGACTGGCTCAGTTGGTGGAACATTCAACTCTTGATTTGGGGTTGTAAGTTCAAGCCCATGTTAAGTATAGAAAATACTTTAAAACATTTTTAAATCTTTAAAAAATAAATAAAGTAGATGTGGGGAAAATTGAATCCATAGTCATATTCCATTTTATGTGCTCTTTATACTTGCAGTGTCCAATAAAGCAGCCACTGCATTGTCCAAAGCAACCTTCTTTTAACATTTAAATATAAATTAACTACAATTAACCAGATCAAAAATGTACTTGCCCAGTTATATTATTTACATTTCAAGGGCTCAATAGCCACATGGAGCTATTGTTATATGTTCGTCTATATTATTCTATATTAGAAAATGTCTCCATCCTTTTAGAAAAATTCTACTGCAGAATTCTGGTCCATCTAGTTATCACAACATCCTTGTGAGTTGGGCACTTTCTCCATTTTGAAGATAAATTGAGTCTCAGAATTAAAAAAGCTTCAAGGTATCCACCTTTGAAACCAGAAGACCTAGGATTTGAATCCAGCTCTGTTTCAATGCAAAGAAAATACTTGAATATCCATTTGGGGCACAATAACTAGTTTTATCCTTTCTTGAATATGATCATACTTATGGCATGAACATACTGTCTTGTTTTACACAAATTGACAGTTGGTAGAAAATTTATGGAATGTTTCAGATGGAGTCTCCCACCTCTAGCCCTAAGAACAGTTGACTTCCAAAACATAGCCTAAAATGGGACTTGTTTCTGCATTTATGTTTAAAATGTATTTTAAAATCAAGAATCATAGACCCTGGGCTAAATCTCTAATTCTAATAAAATTCATTTTTTGGTATTGAATTTTGTGTGTTAGTTATTGTTGCTGTTTTGTTTTTTTAAAGACCTGAGCACCTCAATATATTTTCAGAGAAAAGAGTCTGAGCATTCTGCTACGAATCTGCTGGGTCTTGACACTGTAGATGATGGGGTTCATCAAAGGTGGAAAAAGGATGTAGATGTTGCCCATAAGTACATGGACCACAGGGGAGAGATGCTTGCCAAAACGGTGCATCATTGTGAGGCTAATGATAGGGATGTAGAACACGAGAACAGCACAAATGTGGGAGACACAAGTCTGAAATGATTTATGCCGCTCCTCCTGAGAGGCAATTACCAGCACTGACCTAAGAATCAGGAAATAGGAGTAAAGGATCAGAATAGCATCCAACAATAGTGTGAAAATGACCAGCATCAGGGCATAGTAGCTATTGAATCTTATGTCTGAGCAAGCGAGGCGGAGAAGATCCTGGTGTAGGCAGAATGAGTGAGAGAGGATGTGGGAATGGCAGTAATGGAAAAATTTCAGATTGATGATGGGGGGTGTAATAAAAAAGAAACTCCTACCTACTATGGCGAGCCCAATTTTGAAAATCCTGGAATTAGTCAGAATGGAGGAATAATGCAGTGGATTACAAATAGCAACATACCTATCAAAGGCCATCGTAAGGAGAACAGAGGACTCCATGAAGGAAAGACCATGGATAAAATAGGACTGGGCAATGCAGGAATTCAGGCTGATTTCTCGAATGAACCCCCACAGGATCCCCAGCACTGTGTGGAATGTGGACAGCCCCATGCACAGGTCAGTGAGGGCCAGCATGGCCAGGAAGTAGAACATGGGCTGGTGCAGGGTGGGCTCTGTCCGGATCACATGTAGCACCATGCAATTGCCTGAAAGCACCATGGCATAGATGGTCAAAAAGGGAATGGAGATCCAGGGATACTGCTGCTCCAGGCCAGAAAATCCAGTGAGAAGAAAGGAGGAAGAATTCATGATGGGGCTTACCAAACCGGTAATTCTGGAACTGAGATACTTCTTCTGAGCAGAAAGGAAGTATTTTTCAAAAGAAATCCTCCAATTTCAGATGAGTAAGGTGAAATTTCTAAGTAAATGAAAATATACTTAAAGTTAATTAAGTTTACAAAGTATTAGATGAGTAACTCTCTTCTTTAGCCATGTATTATCTGCTACCTGGAAGAGAATAGTGTTCTCCTGATGTCATTTAAGAGCCATTATTCATCCACTGGCAAGATGCATAGATGTCCTTAGAAGCCACAAGCGAAAGCGAATAGACTAGAGGAAGCTAATTTTCAGAAAAGATATGTTACCTGGAATATTTTCCCAGAGGTTCTGGTAAAAGGTGTACCTGTAAAATTGAGAGCTGAGGTTTTTAAAGTAATTATTAGTTTCTTCCCTCTAATTCATTAAGCATTGAAAATAAAGAGTAAGAATTGGCAGGGCAACTGGGTCGTTCAGTCAGTTGAGTGTCCAACTTCAGCTCAGGTCATGATCTTGTCATTGGCGAGTTCGAGCCCTGTGTTGGGCTCTGTACTGACAGCTCAGAGCCTGGAGCCTGCTTCAGATTCTGTGTCTCCCTCTCTCTCTGCCCCTCCCCCACTCATGCTTTGTCTCTCTTTGTCTCAAAAATAAATATAAACGTTAAAAAAATTTTTTTGAAGAGTAAGATTTAGCTTTTAAGTATCCAAAATCTGTTTAAATAGTCACTGTGTACCCATAGTTTTCCATTTTCTGCTGCTCTCCAAGTATATTTTTCCTCCAAATAGTACTTAGGGAAAGACGCTCCTGTTTTATTCCACTTCAGATAACATAGCCAAGAAGTACTTTTTGTTCTCCTGTGGTGATATGTAGAGAGTAATATTTATGCAAGAGGCCTTTGGTGAGTGATTTCCCAGTAGAATTCTCATCCCCTGAGATGTTCAACTTATCTGTGCCCTTGTGATATGGAGACTTAGGTTGAAGACAGTCTCAGACACCAGCCCACTTAGTCATTTATTGAATCAGTAGGTTAAGTATTCATTTAATATACATTTATTGAACGTATGAGCGGGGTTTTTTTTTCTCTTCCCGAGAACCTACCATTCTAAAGATTCGAAAGAGGGCCAATGTCAGTTAAGTCCGGAATTTTAAAAAGCCTCATTGCAACAGAATTGACTTGCTTCTTCCTCACATTGAGTTCTGCCCCTGGGAGTCATGATAAAAGGTTTAAGCCTCTTATAATGTAGGCAGATGTTTAAAAGTCCATACTGGCTTTTGTGTTTGATTTAATTGTTCCAACATGTTAAATTAGCCTCAGATTCTGACTTCATCTTGTGACCTATTTCCCATCTTTGTCATACTAGCCCACCAGGCAGCTCCTCAGGCTAACCTTCTTCTGAATGCACCTTGTTTCCCTGTGAGACCTTTTCTAGAATCCTGTCTATTATTGCTTGCCCTGAACGCCTCTCTGCATTAGATAACTTACCCTGCTATTTTTAACTGTCTCCTTCGTTGAATGATTGGAGTGTTTGCTCTTGGAAGACAAATCTGTTAGCCTCAGCCTCAAGCACTTACCTTCTTTTATTTCTCAAACACCATTTTTATTCTTTCATGAGATTTCTTTCCAAATATTCTTTCTGCCTAAGATGCTCTTTTCACAGAGATGGTCTTTCCCATCTTCTCCCCAACCTCTCCTCCACTTTTAAAACCAGCCTGTCCCTTTCGCCTTCAATTCAACTATTACTTCTCAGGAAGCCCCTTAACTAAGACAGATTTCCACCGCATATCTATTATTTGGGTAACCATATTTATCTTTATATAACTTATTGAATTTACAATTTGATATTCATTAGCCTACATAAGAGACTAAGGTCTCTACTAAGTTCCCTGAGAGGGGGCATAGTGTTAATTTTTATTCACCATTGTAGCCTGAAATTTACACCTCAAAGTCCTCACCTCTCTTGTGAGCTCATACTCATGGATACAGCTGCCTACTTTGATATCTTCATCTGGATAATTCATCTCAAAACTCAAATTATAACAAAAAAATATTTGGTTTTCCTCATAAAATGCCTTCACCAATCACAATATTGCTTAAGAAAACTCTCAAGAATCTTTCTCAATTCTTCCCTTTCCTTCCCTTTCCTGGATATCAAATCCTTCATCTATTTCTATACTTTCCACCCTAAAACATACCCAGAATGTGTCCACTTCTCACCTATACATTACACACTGTCACTATTATGGTAAACAACATCATCAACTGTTCCTTGCTTATTGTAATTGGCTAATTTACCAGCTAGATTTATTGTTTTGCACTTGCCCCCTAAAGTTGTATTCTCCCCAAAGAAACCAGATTGCTTTTCTGCAAACATCTACTGGATCACATGAGATTATGTTAAACAAAACAAAACAAAGCAAAACAAAACAAATGCCACTGATGGATTTTCATTGCTCTTAAAATAAAAAATAATTTATTTCTCATAGTCAGAAAACTTTAAATGATCTGACCCTCACAAACCTCTCCATCTACATCATAGACCACTGTTATTTTAGCTCCCTAATATCCAGGAATCTTTAATTCGTCAAAACAAATTAAGAGTATTCCTGCCTCAGAGTCTTTGTTCTTAATCTTCTCTCTGCTTAGAATGATCTGTTTCAAGTATTTGCACAAAACCTCTTTTCTTCATTTAGGATTCTCCCGCTCCAGATGACATAGCCAACAATTACTTTTTCTTCTTTGGTAAAGTTCATTGTGGCTTCCTCAGAGGGATTTTTGTAACCCACCAACATTTCTTCTTTCTCTCAAATAAGTTACTCTTAGCACAATACCCTGCTTTGTGTTTATACCACTTATCGTATGCTGATTTTCCATTAGATCTATTGGAAGTTCTGGAAGACCAGGAGCCATGTCTGGTTTATGCTCACTGAAATGCAAAATGAGGTTTAGCACCAAGTGGGCATTTAGCAAATAATTATTGAATTATTTGAATTAATTTATGAATTAAGAGCTGCACAATTACAAAGGTATAAAAACAAGTTAGGGTTGCCTGGGTGGATCAGTCAGCTAAGCATCCAATTCTTGATTTCAACTCAGGTCATGATCTCACAGTTTATGGGTTCAAGCTACATAGCCTGCTTGGGATTTCTCTCTCTCCCTCTCTCTCTATCCCTCCCTTGCTTGCATGCCTTCTCTCAAATAAACACCAACATCAAAAAAAAGAAAAACAAGCTAAATTCAAATACATCGTAAAAAAATGTGAAATCTAAACACTCATATCTTGAAGTACACATCTGGCCCTTGCTGGCCATGTGCTACAAAATATGTGTCATCCTATGTAAGTTTTATATAATATGTAAAACAGATGCAGCCCTAGGCATTCCTGCTGACCCTGAACACAATACTCAGAACCCAAATATGATTCTTATCATTCACAACCTGACCCAGACATGGAAGCTTGGCCATGGGATTGGTATCAAAAGATTGAAACATTCTGTGAGTATAGGCATACATTAAAAGCCATACTCTCATTCAAGCTTCTTCAGACTAGCCACGAAGGTTAATGGTGCTGCCTCAATGTTGGAGAATTTTTTTTTAATTCTATTTTGAGATAGGGTGGAAATTAGGAGAAGATAGGGCTTATGAGATGAATAAATGAAGATTTCAAGAAGAAATTGGTTAGATATGTCAGATGCACTCTATGCTCCATCTGTATCAACAAGGGGAAAAAAGAATATCATTTCCCCAAACATCATGCTATGCTATGGTCCCTCAAAGTCAGTGTGTGTAATATTTCTTTCTGAATCTCTAGCAACCAGAACAATGCCAGGCACAAAATAAATAATTAGTGAAGACAAGCAGCAATGAAGTTGAGTCGAGGGCAGTGGTAGGAGATTATGGGGCTGGCTCTGTACACTTTGTCTGGAATGTTGATTTGGAAACCCTATCTGTGATCAAATTAAACAGACCATTCTTTCAGAAGAGTCTTTTCTTACATCCTCCAATTCAAACCTACCTACATGTTCAGTTACCTCTGCATTTCTTTTATTTATTTATTTTTCTGTTCTTTGGAAATGATCCTCTATTTGATTACTTGCTGCCTTTTTCTCAGATTAGGAAGGGTAATGACCAACAGTCTGTATCTACCCTAAAGGAATAAAGGAAGATTGTTGGATCTAAAAGTCAGAGCCTTTTCAGTATATTGAATAAAAAACATCTGTTTTCCAGGATAGTCCAGGTTTCTGCTTGTTTACTCATAGGATTATTTAATGACACTCATACACAACCTGCTTTGGACAATAAATTAAATGGTCTCATTCTTTGAGTAATCCCTCTAATGGTCCCATTTGGACACCAGAAGGGGGTAGAAGCAGCCCATTCAATTGTCCCCTCTTCAGGGATGCATAAAGCAAGTTTGCTTTAGAACTGGGTAAGTGTAAGTGAGGCCAAGCCCTTCAGAGTCTTGGCATGGCTGAAGAAATAAGAACCTTCTATAACACTGATCCAAAAAACTGGGCGTTCAGGAGTTCTCAGTATGTTAGCGTTAGAGGTTACTTATTTACCACAAACCCACAATAGGCTTAAAATCCCAGTTTACAGGGATGGTTAGTTACTATTACTCATTTTGTGAATATTCTCTTTATTATGTATTATTTATCTATTCTTACTATATATTTCTTACTAATTGTATTATATAAGATGTCTATAAATAATAACCTCATTATAGTTAAAATATTGAAAAATGGTTATCCATAATTTAGAACCATGATAAAAATTTTACTGTGGTCATTCTGGTGTTTGAGAAGTTTCTGTCAGGATTCTTATAGTTTGATTGTACTATGATTCAAATGATCTGTATCAAGGAAATTTATCTGTTTTAACACTTATTCTATATTTAAGACAATATAAGAAAACTGAAATAAAAACCAGACATAATAAGATGTCAAACACTGAATGAAAGACAAAAAACAAGCGGAAGTGGTTGTAAGTGGCAACTAAATCTATCTTTAATCATACTAAAATAAGCAATTAATTTTTTTTGCGGGGGGAGAGTGTGTGCACAAGTGGGAGAGAGGGGCTGAGGGAGAGAGACAGAAAGAGACAGAGAGAGACAGAGAGAGACAGAGAGAGAGAGAGATTCTTAAGTAGGCTCCATGCTCAGCACCAAGCCTAATGAGGGACTCAATCTCAAAACACTGGGATTATGACCTGAGTTGAAATCAAGAGTCAGATACTCAACCCACTGAGCAACCGAGCCCCAGCAGTTAAATTTTTTAGTATAAACACTGCAAGTGTTACAAATGGTTTTTTTTAATTTTTTTTTTTTAATTTACATCCAAGTTAGTTAGCATATAGCGCAACAATGATTTCAGGAGTAGATTCCTCAATGCCCCTTACCCATTTAGCCCATCCCCCGCTGCCACAAACCCTCCAGTAACCCTCTGTTTGTTCTCCATATTTAAGAGTCTCTTATGTTTTGTCCACCTCCCTGTTTTTATATTATTTTTGTTTCCCTTCCCTTATGTTCATCTAGTTTGTCTCTTAAAGTTCTCATATGAGTGAAGTCATATGATGTTTGTCTTTTGCTGACTAATTTCACTTAGCATAATACCCTCCAGTTCTATCCATGTAGTTGCCAATGGCAAGATTTCATTCTTTTGGATTGCCGAGTAATACTCCATTATATATATATATATATATATATATATATATATATATATATATATGGGCTCTTTCCATACTTTGGCTATTGTTGATAGTGCTACTATAAACATGGGGGTGCATGTGTCCCTTCGAAACAGCCCACCTATATTCCTTGGATAAATACCTATTAGTGCAATTGCTGGGTCATAAGGTAGTCCTATTTTTAATTTTTTGAGGAACCTCCATACTGTTTTCCAGAGTGGCTGCACCAGCTTGCATTGCCACCAACAATGCAAAAGAGATCCTCTTTCTCCAATCCTCACCAAAGTCTGTTGTTGCCTGAGCTGTTAATGTTAACGATTCTGACAGATGTAAGGAGATATCTCATAGTGGTTTTGATTTGTATTTCCCTGATGATGAGTGATGTTGAGCATTTTTTCATGCGTCAGTTGGCCATCTGGATGTCTTCTTTGGAGAAGTGTCTATTCATGTCTTTTGCCCATTTCTTCGCTGGATTCTTTGTTTTGTGGGTGTTGAGTTTGATAAGTTCTTTATAGATTTTGGATACTAACCATTTATCTGATATGTCATTTGCAAATACTTCTCCCATTCTGTCAGTTGCCTTTTAGTTTTGCTGATCATTTCCATTGCTGTACAGAAGCTTTTTATTTTGATGAGGTCCCAGTAGTTCATTTTGGCATTTGTTTCCCTTGCCTCCAGAGACGTGTTGAGTAAGAAGTTGCTGCAGCCAAGATCAAAGATGTTTTTGACTGGTTTCTCCTGGAGGATTTTGATGGCTTCCTGTCTTACATGTAGGTCTTTCATCCTTTTGAGTTTATTTTTGTGAATGGTGTAAGAAAGTAGTCCAGGTTCAGTCTTCTTCATGTTGCTATCCAGTTTTCGCAGCACCACTTGCTGGAGAAACTGTCTTTATTCCACTGGATATCCTTTCCTGCTTTGTCAGAGATTAGTTTGCCATACGTTTGTGGATCCATTACTGGGTTCTGTATTCTGCTCCACTGATCTGAGTGTCTGTTCTTATGCCAGTACCATACTGTCTTGATGATTACAGTTTTGTAGTATAGCTTGAAGTCCAGGATTGTGATGCCTCCTGCTATGGTTTTCTTTTTCAAGATCGCTTTGGCTATTCAGGGTCTTTGCTGTTTCCATACAAATTTTAGGATTATTTGTTCTAGCTCTGTGAAGAATGCTGGTGGTACTTTGATAAGGATTGCATTGAATATGTAGATTGCTTTGGGTACTATCGACATTTTAACAATATTTGTTCTTCCTATCCAGGAGCATGGAATCTTTTTCCATTTTTTGGTGTCTTCTTCAATTTCTTTCATAAGCTTTCTATAGTTTTCAGTGTATAGATTTTTCACCTCTCTGGTTAGATTTATTCCTAGGTATTTTATGGTTTTTGGTGCAATCTTGAATGGGATTGATTCCTTGATTTCTCCTTTTGTTGCTTCATTTTTGGTGAATAGGAATGCAACCGATTTCTGTGCCTTGATTTTATATCCTGCAATTTTGCTGAATTCATGAATCAGTTCTAGCAGTTTTTTGGTGGAATCCTTTGGGTTTTCCATATATAATATCATGTCATCTACGAAGAGTGAAAGTTTGACCTCCTCCTGGCTGATTTGGATGCCTTTTATTTCTTTGTGCTGTCCCGTTGCAGAGGCTAAGACTTCAATACTATGTTGAATAACAGTAGCAAGAGTGGACATCCCTGTCTTGTTCCTGACCTTAGAGGGAAAGCTCTCAGTTTTTCCCCATTGAGGATGATATTAGCTTTGGGTCGTTCATATATGGCTTCTATGATCTCGAGGTATGATCCTTCTATCCCTACTTTCTTTTTTTTCCCTTTTTTAAAAAATGAAATTTATTGTCAAATTGGTTTCCATACAACACCCAGTGCTCATCCCAACAGGTGCCCTCCTCAATGCCCATCACCCACTTTCCCCTCCCTTCCAACCCCCATCATCCCTCAGTTTATTCTCAGTTTTTAAGAGTATCTTATGATTTGGCTCCCTCCCTCTCTTTTTTTCCCTTCCCCTCCCCCATGGTCTTCTGTTAAGTTTCTCAGGATCCACATAAGAGTGAAAACATATGGTATCTGTCTTTCTCTGTATGACTTATTTCACTTAGCATAACACTCTCCTGTTCCATCCATGTTGCTACAAAAGGCCATATTTCATTCTTCTCATTGCCACCTAGTATTCCATTGTGTATATAAACCACAATTTCTTTATCAATTCATCAGTTGGTGGACATTTACTCTCCTTCCATAATTTGGCTATTGTTGAAAGTGCTGCTATAAACATTGGAGTACAAGGGCCCCTATCCCTCAGGACTCCTGTATCCCTTGGGTAAATTTCTAGTAGTGCTATTACTGGGTCCTAGGGCAGATCTATTTTTAATTTTTTGAGGAACCTCCACACTGTTTTCCAGAGTGGCTGCACCAGTTTGCATTCCTATCAACAGGGTAAGAGGGTTCCCATTTCTCCACATCCACTCCACACCTATAGTCTCCTGTTTTATTCATTTTAGCCACTCTGACTGGTGAGAGGTATTATCTCAGTGTGGTTTTGATTTGTATTTCCCTGATGAGGAGTGACATTGAGCATCTTTTCATGTGCATTTTGGCCATCTGGATGTCTTCTTTAGAGAAGTGCCTATTCATGTTTTCTGCCCATTTCTTCATTGGATTATTTGTTTTTCGGGTGTGTAGTTTGGTGAGTTCTTCATAGATTTTGGATACTAGCCCTTTGTCTGATATGTCATTTGCAAATATCTTTTCCCATTCTGTTGGCTGCCTTTTAGTTTTGTTGTTTCCTTTTCAGTGCAGAAGCTGTTTATCTTCATGAGGTCCCAAGAGTTCTTTTTTGCTTTTAATTCCCTTGCTTTTGGAGATGTGTCAAGTAAGAAATTGCTGCAGCTGAGGTCAGAGAGGTCTTTTTTTCCTGCTGTCTCCTCTAGGGTTTTGATGGTTTCCTGTCTCGGGCCCTTTATCCATTTTGAGTTTATTTTTGTGAGTGGTGTTAGAAAGTGGTCTAGTTTCATTCTTCTGCATGTTGCTGTCCAGTTCTCCCAGCACCATTTGTTAAAGAGACTGTCTTTTTTCCATTGGATATTCTTTCCTGCTTTGTCAAAGATTAGTTGGCCATACGTTCGTGTGTCTAGTTCTGGGGTCTCTATTCTATTCCATTGGTCTAGTTGTCTGTTTTTGTGCCAATACCATGCTGTCTTGATGATTACAGCTTTGTAGTAAAGGCTAAAGTCTGGGATTGTGATGTCTCCTGCTTTGGTCTTCTTCAATATTACTTTGGCTATTCAGGGTCTTTTGTGGTTCCATACAAATCTTAGGATCGCTTGTTCTAGCTTTGAGAAGAATGTTGGTGCAATTTTGGTTGTTGTTTGATTGTTGCATTGAATGTGTAGATAGCTTTGGGTGGTATTGACATTTTGACAATATTTATTCTTCCAAAGCATGAGCACGGAATGTTCTTCCATTTCTTTGTATGTTCTTCAATTTCCTTCATAAGCTTTCTATAGTTTTCAGCAGACAGATCTTTTACATCTTTGGTTAGGTTTATTCCTAGGTATTTTATGCTTCTTGGTGCAATTGTGAATGGGATCAGTTTCTTTATTTGTGTTACTGTTGCTTCATTATTAGTGTATAAGAATGCAACTGATTTCTGTACATTGATTTTGTATCCTGCAACTTTGCTGAATTCATGTATCAGTTCTAGCAGACTTTTGGTGGAGTCTATTGGGGTTTCCATGTATAATATCATGACACCTGCAAAAAGTGAAAGCTTGACTTCATCTTTGCCAGTTTTGATGCCTTTGATTTTGTTTTGTTGTCTGATTGCTGATGCTAGCACTTCCAACACTGTGTTAAACAACAGTGGTGAGACTGGACATCCCTGTCGTGTTTCTGATCTCAGGGGGAATGCTCTCAGTTTTTCCCCATTGAGGATGATATTAGCTGTGGGCTTTTCATAAATGGCTCCTATGATGTTTAAGTATGTTCCTTCTATCCCGACTTTCTCAAGGGTTTTTATTAAGAAAGGATGCTGAATTTTGTCAAAGGCCTTTTCTGCATTGATTGAGAGGATCATATGGTTCTTATCTTTTCTTTTATTAATGTGATGTATCACATTGATTGATTTGCAAATGTTGAACCAGCCCTGCATCCCAGGAATGAATCCCACTTGATCATGGTGAATAATTCTTTTTATATGCCATTGAATTCGATTTGCTAGTATCTTATTGAGAATTTTTGCATCCATGTTCATCAGGGATATTGGCCTGTAGTTCTCTTTTTTTACTGGGTCTCTGTCTGGTTTAGGAATCTAAGTAATGCTGGCTTCATAGAATGAGTCTGGAAGTTTTCCTTCCCTTTCTATTTTTTGGAGCAGCTTCAGAAGGATAGGTATTATCTCTGCTTTAAATGTCTGGTAGAATTACCCAGGGAAGCCGTCTGGTCCAGGACTCTTATTTGTTGGGAGGTTTTTGATAACTGCTTCAATGTCTTCGCTGGTTATGGGTCTGTTCAAGTTTTCTGTTTCATCCTGTTTGAGTTTTGGATGTGTGTGGGTACTTAGGAATTTGTCCATTTCTTCCAGGTTGTCCAGTTTGTTGGCATATAATTTTTCATAGCATTCCCTGATAATTGCTTTTATTTCTGAGGGATTGGTTGTAATAATTCCATTTTCATTCATGATTTTATCTATTTGGGTCATCTCCCTTTTCTCTTTTAGAAGCCTGGCTACAGATTTATCAATTTTGTTTATTTTTTTTCAAAAAACCAACTCTGGTGTCATTTATCTGCTCTACAGTCTTTTTTAGATACTATATTGTTTATTTCTGCTCTGATCTTTATTATTTCTCTTCTTCTGCTGGGTTTGGGGTGTCTTTGCTGTTCTGCTTCTAGTTTCTTATGTGTGCTTTTAGTTTTTGTATTTTGGATTTTTCTTGTTTGTTGAGATAGGCCTGGATTGCGATGTATTTTCCTCTCACAAGTACCTTTGCTGCATCCCAAAGCGTTTGAATTGTTGTATTTTCATCTTCATTTGTTTCCACATATTTTTAAATTTCTTCTCTAATTGCCTGGTTGACCCATTCATTCTTTAGTAGGGTGTTCTTTAACTCCATGCTTTTGGAGGTTTTCCAGACTTCTTCCTGTTACTGATTTCAAGTTTCATAGCACTGTGGTCTGAAAGTGTGCATGGTATGATCTCAATTTTTGTATACTTATGAAGGGCTGTTTTGTGACCCAGTATGTGGTCTATCTTGGAGAATGTTCCATGGGCATTCAAGAAGAAAGTATATTCTGGTGCCCTAGGATGCAGAGTTTTGTATATACATCTGTCAAGTCCATCTGATCCAATGTATCATTCAGGGCCCTTGTTTCTTTATTGATCCTGTGTCTACATGATCTATGCATTGTTGTTAGTGGGGTATTAAAGTCCCCTACAATTACCACATTCTTATCCATAAGATTGCTTATGTTTTTGATTAATTGTTTTACATATTTGAGGGCTGCTGATATCAGTGCATAGATATTTATAATTGTTACCTCTTCCTGATGGATAGACCCTGTAATTATTATATAATGCCCTTCTTCATCTCTTGTTACAGGTTTTAATTTAAAGTCTATTTTGTCTGATCTAAGTATGGCTATTCCAGCTTTCCTTTGACTTCCAGTAGCATGATAGATAGTTTTCCATCCCCTCACTTTCAATCTGAAGGTGTCCTCAGGTCTAAAATGAGTCTCCTGTAGACAGCAAATAGATGGGTCTTGTTTTTTTTTTTATCCATTCTGATACCCTATGTCTTTTGGTTGGAGCATTTAGTCCATTTACATTCAGTGTATTACTGAAAGATGTGGGTTTGGAGCCATTGTGATTTCTGTAGGTTTCATGCTTGTAGTGATGTCTCTGATACTTTGCAGTCCTTGAACATTTCACTCACAAAATCCCCCCTAGGATCTCTTTTCAGATGGTTGATTGGTGATGAATCCCTTCAGTTTTTGTTTGTTTGGGAAAACCTTTATCTCTCCTATTCTGAATGACAGACACTGGATAAAGGATTCTCAGCTGCATATTTTTTCTGTTCAGCACATTGAAGATTTCCTGCCATTCATTTCTGGCCTGCCAAGTTTCAGTAGATAGGTCTGCCACTACTCTTATATTTCTACCTTTGTAAGTTAGAGCCTGTTTATCCCTAGCTGCTTTCAGAATTTTCTCTTTACCCATGTATTTTGCCAGTTTCACTATATGTCGTGCAGAAGATTGATTCAAGTATGTGTGAAGGGAGTTCTCTGTGCCTTTTGGATTTCAATGCTTTTTCCCTTCCCCAGATCAGGGAAGTTCTCAGGTATGATTTGATCAAGTACACCTTCAGCCCCTTTCTCTCTCTCTCCTTCCTCTGGAATTCTTATGATATGGATATTGTTCTGTGTGATTGCACCACTTAGTTCTCTAATTCTCCCCTCATACTCCTGGGTTGTTTTATCTCTCTTTTTCTCAGCTTCCTCTTTTTCCATAATTTTACCT